AAGATGGACAAAACTACATTTGTAAATAGTTCCACTGACATCATTGACTATTTGAAGATGTGCTCAGCATTTTCTAAGCCATGTTAACTGATTTGTATCACATAGTGGGCATATCTACACATGCATTTAAACCAAGTCAAATTTACTGCACAGTAAGTTACTATGCAGTAAGCAGAAATAGGCTGGCATCTACATGTGCAGCCTGCCACATGCCCTTGTGGCCAGTGTGGGGAGCTCCAGCCTCTGGTCACATGGCTGCCTACACTTGGGACTAACTTTAGTCCCAAACTGAAGCCAGAGCCAGCTGCCAACACTTGGTGGGTGTGTCCCAAGTTGAAGCCAGGAGAGGCAGCCAGCCAGGAGCCCTGGGGATGGGCTCAGGCCAGCCTCTTAGTAGTTGGGCAAACTGAGCAAGGAGGCTCCCTGGGTTACTGTGTGGCAACGTGTCTACATATTTGTTACTGAGCAGTAACTAATTGGGTGTAAGTTTGATACCTGCATGATGTAGATAAGAAATATACTCTCAAGTACACATAAGTCACCATATTTACTGTGCAGTATGGGCATTCACGTGTAGATGCATACCTGTACTACATAGTAATTTTGGTTACTGTGCAGTAAATGCGCACTTGTAGACACACCCAGTTCATATCACATTTCAAATCAAATTAAGGGTTAATAGGTGATCAAGGGAGTTTCCCCCCTTCTTCACAGAGCAGTAACCCATGTAACTGGGCAGGGTTGGGGGCTTAGTCAGGATACTGACACTTAGTCAGGGTGAGGTGCTGTTAGCACATTTGACTTAGAAAGGTGTTACTTTGTTCCTGAGACCCTCTCTTTTGTTGCAAAAACCCAAATGAGTTTCCTTTGAGGGGACTGATATTTGCAGTGTTTATCTGACTTCCTAAGGATGATTTTTCCTAAAAGCAATGCCTATATACATGTTAAGTAATACAGTTTAGATTGCCTAAAATGTAAACTACAGATGTCCATGTGTATATAGTGACAGCTGTAGTCCAGATTAAACCTAGAAAAATGTAACATCTATAAACAGCCATTGGTGCTATAATGGCTGCAGAAATTAGTTTTAATTATGTAGTTCCAGATTAATTCAGAGCAATATTGTATGTTATAAGTCTATGGACATTCATTATCTCATATCTCTTCCTCCCTCCCCTCTTTTTTCCCTGTTAACAGATGGTGAAACTCAGAAACTGAGAAATTACATGCAAGATTTTCAAAAGAACTCTGTGTACACAGTGTAGAATGTAATGGGAAGCCCCTGACTGCATTATGAAGAGAGGAAGAAAAGGGGGTCTGGATCTTTAAGACATCTAGACCAGATTGGCTGTATTAAAAGTGAGCAGCCCTCAGTGGTGAAAGGAGGTCTTCCCATTGTAATGTCCACTGCTGACTTCTGTATATTTCTTAGAAGGAGGCATATTTTGATGTGATATTTTTGTGTGATGCCTTAATGCATATTAGCATAACATAATAACCATACTAACCCTTCCAACATCCAATCTTCAGTAGCCTATAGACTATATTGTATCCAAACAGGAATTGCTAAGTCCTAGTTTTAAAGAAGTTCTATTTGAATGCTGAACAGTAAAAGGCTTTTTTAAGCTTCCCATATTATAAAGTGAAAGCTTCCTAGAGATCTGCTCTGGCAAAAATCTGCAGTATTTTTAATATCAGTTAGACGAGGTATCTTTTATAAATGTGTCTGGTGCCATGTAATTTGCAACATAATTTCACTGTCTGTTTATCTATCCATCCATCCGTCCATCCATTCATATGTATATAAAGCAGTCACAAAATCTGGTGACTGTTGATAGATTGTAAATCAGTGTCTGCTCTCAACAACATGTGAATACAAATGTGATTAAATTTGATACTATGCCCATTTTTTATTTATCAGATTTCAGAATGCTGTTCTTTAGGTGCTGCCCTGTGTTTATTTGTAGATCCTTAACTCCTTGTGTACCCAGTCTCTAAAACTAAAAATTAGTGTAGAAATAGCCAACTGCCCAAATATATTGAGTTAAGTAAAAGGAATCTTTTTTAATAGCTTATGAGTTTTCAGATCTTTCAGAATATCTGTTGTATACATCAGAAAGCAACGTAGTAGGTAGCCATGTATATTTCTGTTGTGGTACTGTGAAATTGCATGTGGAAGGAAATGTTATGGGGTAGGATACTTAAGACTTAACTTTGAGTGTATGAAGATAACATATTATATAGATCTTATACATATGGCCACATAAAAGAATATTTAGGATGCACAGTAAAGCACACAATCAGAAAATGCTAATATCAGACATTTCTCTGCAGATTTACCTTGACCCCTTTAGGTGTGTTCTTAGGATAAAAGCCTCACGTTATTCTTAATTAATATTATAATTAATATATGCCTACATTTTTCTTCAAGGGCCCCTGACTTATTTCGGGTGAAGGTTGGAGGGTGGTTAGTGAATGAGTTGCTCAGTCAAGGTTTGTTCTTATTTAAACTATTCTATCTCTGCCTCCCCAAACATATTCGCTGATGACTATCTAAAAATAAGCAGAGTTAAGGCGGTGAAAACAACTGTGACTTTTGTCTTACATGTTTACTAAATAGTTATTTCATTGTGCACTCATAGCATACTTTTATATGCTGTTGCTTTTCTGAAAAGTGCAAAGTTGTGCAATAAATCCATAAAAACACAGGTGATCAACTCTTGCCTGCAGGCCAGATTCAACCCACGGTGCTATGTTGTCCAGCCCATGGAGCTCCACATGGGTCCAGAAATTTGGTGGTGAGTGCCTTGGACTCTTCTGTTCTTTGCTTGTAGCATATGTTATAGCTTTTTGAAGATGCAGATACTTCTTTTAAAACTAAAATATGGGGTTCCATTTAATGTTAACTCAGTAAAATATATTGACTGTTACACACAGGAGGTCAGGCTAAAAGATCTAATGGTCTCATCTAACCTTAATCTTTCTGAAACCAAGAAATTATATACACCTTCACATATCTTGTTAAATGAGACATTCCTTCTAGCTACTGTCTTGTTCCATGCTCACCTACATAAATTATAATCTGTTAAAAGGGAAGTTTCATTAAAGTTTTTTACCCACATACATAGAAAACTATTAAGAGGTCATTTACTGAATGTTAAATTTCACTGTTATAATATATGCATAATACCAGGAAAATATTGGAAGAATGAGAGTGAAACCTTATTATTCCACAGTGGAAGCCAATGCACAGGAATGAAGTACATTTTGAACATGGCCAAGTCAGAAAAAAGGGGAGAAAATGTCCCCTATAACTAGGGATTGGGGCCTCAATTCAGTAGTTCATTATTATTCAGCAAGGCACATGTCTATCTCTAAGCATGTGCTTAAAACCCTTTGACCTCAGTTGGATATAGGCATGTACTTATATGCTTAAATGAATGGGGCTACAATGAAGCCCATGATTAAATGTTTTGTTGAATTAGGGTGTATGTGACTGTCAGATTGCAAGTTTTTGCTTAGAACTATAAGACACTAAAGTTGTTAGATAAAATACAAAATGTATAACGCTGAAGATGACTACTTAGTTCTCTTCTAATTTTTGCTGGACCATTTTTGCTCAAAGCTTCCATAAGATTTTGCTTTCTAGCAGGCATACAAAAATTCAACCTGTAAGGTGATCTTTTGAGAATATTATAACCTACTGCCAAAGGCCTTGTACAATGGAAATAGAATCTTAATCATACCTGGCTCTACACTCCAGGTAAAATACAAGCACGTTTATATGCCTTCACTTGACTGACAGGCTAGAGAATACAACTGCTCTTCTAGTGGTTAGCTGTCTTTTGAAAAGATATATATAGGTATCTATAGATACAGGTACATACAAAGACATACAGGCGGTTAATATTGTATATAGATCTAATATAGATATAGATATAGATATATTAATCCCCTGCATGCCTTTGGATGTACCGTGTGTCTGTGTGTGTGTGTGCGTGTGCGCGCGCGTGTTAGGTAGACATGCAGAGGGTTAATAGCATGTCTGGGGCATTGCCACTCTAAAGAAAGTTATCTGAATAGCCTTTACTATTCCTAGCCAATCCTTAAACTGAAAAGGCCAATAACTAAAGATGTACAACAAGGAGACAACTTCCTGCATTTAAACATTACATTTAAACATCTTATAAAAAATGTAAGGCCTTAGTCTGAAGAAGACAGCACTTGCTGCTAGGGATTTGGATTTGCTCTGGTGCCTTAAGTGTGAGTGTATTTATGTGCAACAGAAAACAGATAAAGCCACACATTATTTGCCTGGTCATTCACACAGACATTAAAATGTACACTTATATGCATTAACAACCTACAGTTTTCTGATCAGTGAACATTGGCTCAAAGAAGCTTGCATCCATATGTCATAGTTATTAGTTTACTTTTAAGCTCCAGACGATCTGTTAAATTACAGAAGAAGTGTGGGAGGACAGATGGTGGGCTAACACTTCTTGTTATTCTATATCTTTTATTCTTTATAAGTCTTTGCTTTTGCTTGTAATAGTTAAGTAGGAAAACTACTACCAGCTTTTGGTAGTATTGTACAGTACCATGGAGCTGTATTTCTTATGGCTTGTAAATTGCTTATTAATACTTTGTAGTCCTGATAAAGTGGCTACAATCTTGCATACCCCTCTTTTCTCTGTTTGCAGAGTGCAATTTTAGTTTCTCTCCTCCCTTCCCCCTTTCACGCCTTTCTAAACAGATGTAACTGTTACTTGTGTTTGAAATCCTTATTCCCAAGGCACTCCAGGAATGAGGTTAGGGAGGCTCAATGCAAGTAACCACCTAGGATGTGATGAGGTAGAGAACTTTTCCCCTAAAGTCCCCTAACCTTTTCCCTTTTGAGTGGTAGAGGAAAAATCAAATATGGGAAGAATAACATGTGTGTTCCATGTGGACTACGAAAGCAGTACTGTCTCCTTTTTCTCCTTCCCCTCTGGCACCAGTGAGGCCACCACCTTCTCCTTCCTGCAAAAACTTCCTGGTACATAGACTGAATTGAAAAAGTGGATAAGTCAAGTAGTAGGAGATGGAATGAAGTTGCGTTCTCTGCCCTAAAACTAAAGACAAGAGATGTGGGGCTGGATTCCACCCCCAAGTAATTCACAGGGAGAATGAAAATGATTACAAGGATATGGAACAGTAACTTCACTGATTGCATAGGGTTGGTATAGGCAGCCTACATGGCAATAACATAATGAAAGGGAGGCAAACCGGGCACCAGCACTAGGCACTGACCCTGGAGGGTGGGTACAAAAAGAGCAGCAGTTGTGTGTCTGGCATTGCCGCTGCCCCAGCCACAGCAAAGCCACTGACACTACCCCATGCACGACTGCTGCCCAGGGTGTCAAACACCCCATCATACATCTGCTACACTGTTCAACCCTCACAGAATTTGCATGGGGCAGGGGCTGTTGGTCTATATCAAGGACAGAAGAGGGAGTTGTTTTCTGGCTAAATGTTAGGTCCATTCTGGGCCATGAAGCAGCCCCAAAGACACTGAGGGGAGGCTGCCATCAGTTGGAACAGCCCTTATAGCTATTCCAGAGGCTGTGCTTTACAGTAAGTGCAGGCCACCCAGGAAAAGTTGCACTGGAGGCGAAAACATATTTTGCACATATTTTGCACATTATTTATTATCTTTATGGATTTTTGCACAAGAGGTGAGAATAAAGGCCAATGAAACCTGATGCTGAGGGCACATTTGCCAACCTCTAAATAAGTTTGTCATAAGTACTGAAAAGTAAAATTCTGTGAGGGTCCAGAAAGTGCCATGGCAAGAAAGTTTGGCACTCAGGGCAAAGCCTGCCGTACCAGCCCACCCTCGACCTACACATGGATCGGGGGGCATACACACCCCCATGCTTGGCCAGGAGTGCATGCAGCAGAGAGTGTTATTTCCCCCATCCCTCACCCAATGAGCTGCTCACAGCTCCGCCCTGTGCCCTGCTCTGGCTCGGCAGCACCTGTTGGCACCCCTTTGCTTTGGTATCCGGGGCAGTCGCCCTGCTCACTCCCCCTTGCTATGGCACTGGGGCCAGGGCTTAATGCTTAAGGAAGGACTCAAGTTTTAGCTCTGGTTATGACATACATTTCACGCTCACCTTTGGCAAATTACTTCCAATACCATTTTTTAGAACTTAAAGCAACTCTAGTACTTTTGTGGACCAAACTTTTCACTTTCAGTGGTTTTTTCTCTTTCTTTTTTAAGATTGACTTTAATGAGCTGCCTGATTGAGGGCCTGCTCAGTAGAAGGAAAATGCATTGGAGAGATGAATATACATACTGTGCCCTCAACAAACAC